AATGAGTAGTTGTGAAAGGTGAACGAGCTCTCGGGCCAACCTAATAATGTCTGCGCTCGCTAAAATGCTCAGTAAATTGATTCCACAACCGTCCCCAACTTTCATAATCATATCAACCCTCTCCTCACAATGATGCGCCCTCGCGGCATCTAGTGCATGTGCTACTTTTTACTGAACTTTGTCCAGTCCTGTGTTCTCTCAACGCCTAGGTGTCTTTGCTGCGCTCGCACACGATTCACTTGCAGAATCACGTTTCGAATCGGAAATGAACAGCGGCAAAAATATGTTGTCATAATCCGGTGACGATGCAATGGAACGCATGGTTAGCAATAGAACTGAACATCAATGCACTAGTCGTTAACTATAGGCCTTTAAGGCCCTCAAAAACATTGTAGAAGCATTCGTCGACCGGTTTACAAGCTCGTTAAATTTGAGTGCACTGAGGACTCACAGAATCTCATCAGTTCCTAATGCTTCCGCCTTCGTCAAACGCGGTGGATCGGGTACGGCAAAACGTGTTCGTACGAAAGCTATGTTGGAGACTGCACTTCGCGCACCTTGATGTCGCACCATCTTTGTCGTGACGTATGCCGCGTACCTAGATTAGAAAAGGTTTCTTTGCTGCGACAAATGATTCACATCAGACTACCACCCTAATTTACATCAGGCCCTACTCATAAACTTACAAAGTATGCGGTTTGATGTGGCTGTTTCCAATCATAGCTGTAACGTACTCTGGTCCAGTTCCGTTGATCCTTTCCACATTGTCGTTAACCTTAATTTAACAATCAGCAACTAAGCATGCTATAGTATGAGAGCTCACCCCTTCAAAGTGGTAGAACCACGAATCCGTATCTTGACAGGAAGACCTATCATCATCAATCGAAAGATTAGGATCTTCCCATTCGACTTCCTTATACAGGATCTGAAAATGGAAAAACTGTTGCTACAATGCATGTGAATACCAATGCATATTAAATACTCATTACATACGACAGTTTCAACTGTGCCTAATCTTTCTAAAAAACAGGATTTATTTGAAAAGAAAAACGGTAGAAAAAGCACGAAATAATGATATAAACGAAAAATCCGACTCACATCATATCCAAGGAATTTCCTTTGATCCATGTCCGTGGTGTTGAGAGCAGGCCAGCGCAGAGTAAACGCTGTTTGCGATACCGCACTATCCACAACGGTAAGATTGAACGAGGATTCTTCGCCTAAAAGTAGTAACATTTGCTGCTTTCTCCTAATTTGTAAGCTGAACAGTGGATTACGAATGAAGTTTCCCATTATCAACTCAACCACAGTCTCCCAATCTTCA